CATATCACCCTGCAGCTCACCACTGGCAGCCCCACTGGAGACTCGGCAGGTGTGTTGCTCCCAGACAACTTTAGGAATCTGTGGCAGCTGCTGGAGAGATGTTTCTTCTTTTGAGCAAAGATGGAATTCTGGATTTCTCAGCTCACTTAAAGGGCTCTGCTTTCACGCCCATCGAGAAGGACTTAAGGAGCTCGCCTGGCTGATGAGGATAGTCCAGGAACGGACACCAAATGGGGAAACGTAATTGCCCGGACCTCCAAACTTTCTAAAAGGAGTTGAGCCGTTAGCTCAGGGCTCTGCGTAGCTCCGTGCCTCTGTGGGTGAGTCATGTTTGCATTCCCCCCCACCCCACTGTAATCTCTGTAAACACTGCGTTCTAAGGATACAGATCCTCCTCTGCAGGCATGAGGACTTAACCCTGAGTGGATTACGGCTGTACCTAACCTCCTTTTGAAAAAAACAAACTGAGCTTATTGACAGAATTAATCCAGCCGGCTTCAGGATCAACAGTGAAACAAATGACCCTGGATCCGTGCAAGAGGAAATCTGGGACTGGGAACAGGATGTGCTTTCTCTCGTGGAGAGCGGTGAGTGTCTGGAACAGAGACGCGCTGCTGTCCAGACAAGCTGCTGGTGCTGAGCCCTGGATCGGTCGGTGGACAGGGACCGAGCAGGTTTCACGAGCCAGACGGCCTGTTCGTATTTGAAATGAGTTCTTTTTCCCTGTTCTCGTGATCAACCAATACCTAAAGACCCGGATATCGCCGATTCACTGATCCACTCAGGTCCCTGCGGGACCTCTGGATTTTGTCCTGTTTGATGACCCAATTAAACAATTAACTACTATCTTAGGAAGCCGCTGTGCCACACTGGTCAGCATTGCTGCCTCCGCAGCGCTGGGGGCCTGGGGTTCAACTCCCGCCCTGGGGTGCTGTCTGGGTGGAGTTTGCATGGTCTCCCCTGTGTTCGTGTGGGTTTCCTCCCACTGCTCGCAGACATGATGGCGGATTCATTGGCTTCTGGGAAAACCGGCCCTGGTATGAGTCTGCGTGTGTCTGCGTCAGTGTGTGCCCTGTGATGGACTGGCGTCCCATCCAGAGCGTACAAAGCAGGTCAGACAATGGATATGCGATTCCATATTATATCCCCTATTAATCAAATTCTAAAAGCATGCTTGCGTTTACTCCGCTATCGAGCGTATTCGCAGAAAAGCTTAAAACTATCACTTTTCTCACAAAGTACTGAATACTGTATAATGGTCAGAAAGAGCAGGGAGCACGTAAAACGTTTCCAAAATCACATGTAAGACTTTGATGCTTAAAATGTTTAGGGAGAAATGGAAGACTGGTGTGTATTTTTTCTTTCAAATACCAAGACCAGCCATATACAGTTTACATATGTTTATGTTCCTAAATC